TTACTGCGGGCATGGTAGAGAAAACAATGACCAAAATGAGTACAGCCAGGAGGGAAATGAAGGGATGTCCAAGTTATTACTGTTTAGGGATTTTTTTTTGGGGGGGGGATACAATCAGGGTGTGAGGGACTTGCTCAAGGTCACACAGTAATTATCTGAGGCTGGATTTGAACTCAGGTCCTCCTGTATCCAGGACTAGTGTTCTATCCACTGTACCACCTCGCTGCCCCCTAGTTAGGGATTCTAAACCATTTTTGTGTCACTGGATTCCTTTGGCAGTCCTTGGAAGCCAACGGACCCCTTCTCAGAATGTTCTGAAATAATTGAAGAAAATGGTAAATTTCAGTTCAAGGTTAGTGAAAATAAAGACGTAATTTTTTCCCCATCCAAATTCACAGGTTGAAATCTATCCATGGAGTCCTTGGGGGTCAGTGGACCCCAATTTAAGAACCCTTCTCTAGATTAATGCTTTAGCTGGGGAGTTGGACTATCAAAGATGGTGATACCATCCCCTGGGGGGCACTAGAATGATGGGGGAGCAGTAGTAGCCTCGAATGCAATTGGGGGGCATTGAATAAAAATAAGGGGATGGTAGAAGTAAAGGAAAAGATGAGAAAATTTTGAAAACTGTTCATACATGTTTCATCTGTTGTGTAAAGAGTTAAAGTTGTAGTGATTACATTATTTTCCAAATAAACACACAAAATGCCAATTATAACCAATCAGTGGTCAAATCTGCAGACAGGTCTTAACAAGCAAGAGTTGGCAGGCAAGTGAGTCGAGCATTGTCGGAAAGTCCAGCATACATCAGCAGGAATATGTGCACATGATGACTTGCTTACAAATCCGCACTATATGGTTACATGACACAATATTGCATCATCAAAATTTTACTGCAGGAAAAAACCCCACATATTTACAACAAATTATTAAATTTAAGATATCATTTTAAAATTCTTATTTTTTGAAATGATGCAAATTAAAAAAAATATATTAAAGGGTTGAAGAAAGTAGATTTCCAGAGGGTGCTGAATAATTTTTTTCTTTTTTTTTGCAAAGGGGGTGGTAGGCCAAATAAGTTTGGAAACCTCTGGACTAGATGGTCTAGTTCAGGTTCCTTTCAACTCAGAGATTCTACGATGCTATGATAGAATGGAATTGGGCAATAAAAGGAAGTCAACCATGAGAAGAATGGATCATTTCCAGTTCCTGTATGGCACCTCCTCTTTTTTGGTACTGTGGGTGGGAGAAGCTAGGTGGCTTAGTGGATAGAGCTCAGGACCCGGGTCTGGAAGACCTGAGTTCAAAACCAGCCTCAGATACTTACTAGCTATGTGACCCTGGGAATGCATCTTATCTTTTGTCTATCTCACTTTCTTCATCAGTAAAATGGGGATAATTATGGCACCTACCTCTCAGGGTTGTTGGGATCAAATGAGAAAATACTTATAAAATGCTTTGCAAACCTAAATGTCCCATATAAATATGAACTATTAGTAGATGTGCTTGATAGTTTATATCAGAGGAAACACGAATGGGAGAAGATGATTCATAGAGTTTATACTGACATTTTGAAGAAATAATGAAATTGGAGCTGAAAGAAAACTTAGAAATCATAATGTAGGAAATGTGGTTGGGAATGTTGCTTCTGCATGTCACTCATCACGGTGATGAGTAGCTGCTGAGGTATTGATAGCTGTAGCCTGCTGACAAACAAATGTGGGGAGTGGGAGATGTAATTAGGGGCAGAGACTCATGTGGGGAAATCAGGAGCTCCGGATAGGCTGTACATCCTGCATTACCCAGCCAATGGGGAAACAAGGGAGGGAACTGCAATTCAGGCCTAGGAATAAAAAGCCTTGCCCTCCCTTCTGTAAGGTGTGCCCACACATGGGACACTTGGCCTAAGGTCGTTAATAAAAAGGTTTTTTTTTGGGGGGGGGCAGCTAGGAGGTACAGTGGATAGAGCTCCGGCCTTGGAGTTAGGAGGACCTAAGTTCAAATCCAGCCTCAGACACATAACACTTACTAGTTGTGTGACCCTATGGCAAGTCACTTAACCCCAATTGCCAAAGTTAAAAAAAAAAAGTTTTGGTTTTTTTTCTTTTTCCATTAATAGCTTTGTAGAATTTGTTGCTAACACACAGTACAACCCTTTATTTTATAGATGAAGAAATTGAGGCCCAGAGAGGGGAAGTCTCTTGCTGAAGTTCACAGAGGTAGTCAATTGTAGAACTGAGATTTTAAACCAAGTTCTCTTGCTCTAAAACTAGTGCTTTGTTTCATTACCCTCCTCCAATATTTTTCTTCAGAAAACTGAAAACATCACACTTTCTTTGCTTTAAATACATAGTTACTGTCAATTCTATACTGTTAGAAAAGCACCTTCATACAAATGTTTTTCTATTCTCTTTAAGTCTAAACAATCCATAAAACAATATATATAAATATATTTCTATTTATGATTATAAGACAGACTCTTCAAACATTTCTGAAAAATCAAGCTAGGGAATAATTCACAAATGAGTGCATTTTTTCTGTGTCTGCAAGTTGAAAAAGATACATATACCTTTAAATACAGATTGATCAAAATGAAAAACAATTCTTACTCCAACCTTTCAAAACTTAACATTTCTTACTGGTAAAATGCTTTTTCTGAGTCCTTCAAAGTAGGTGAGAGGCTCTCCCCTGACCTTGGTAATTTTCACAACTTACCAGAAAGGTCAACTTTAGCACACTAGATTGGTTCTGATTCCATTTCAGTAGGTCCTCCCTGCATGGAGTAAGGCCATAATTCCTCCAGTCCTATCTCACTTAATACCACTCTTGTCTGTGACTTTCCATGAAGCCTCCACTAAAGGTGATGAAAGTTTTGATCTCGGCCAACAATGAAATAAATAAAAACACAAAGTGAAACCAACTTTAAAAACATACATAATCACTAGGTAGAAGCATACATTCTTAATTAAGACCTGACGATAAGATACTTTTTAGAAGCAAGAAGGATTTTAAGATGCCAAAGGAAGTTATGAGAAATTAACAAATTAGCTCTTTCCATTGTTATAACCAATGACAGTCTTTCCAAGCTTGTCTTTGGTGTTAACATCGAGAGTTATAAGTATTTATTATTTTTAAAACATTAGAAAAGTCAGTATTGAAATAGGATTATACATTTAGGTTTTTATACTGAGTCAGAAAAGATTCATCTTTGCTATCTCTTCTAAAGCTCCCAAAAAAGGGAAGATCTCAGGCTGTCCATCTATTATTACTCATCTTCTCCATCCTTTCCTACCGCTTCCATTTTCACAGTAAGGCATTTCCTTGAAAAGCAAATTGTACTTTTTAAACTTATCAAGATGACTGAATAATATTCTCCCTCAGAATATCTCTGGTCTCATTGCCAATAACAGAATACTGGGTTGGATATATGAGCCACTAGTCTGGCCTCATATAGTATTTTTATTTTTTCTATAGACTCTTCCACCTGTGAAGATATACTAGATATCATAAACATATTCCTAAAGTATTATGTACTTTAAGTGATTCAGTTGAATAATTCAAGAAACTCTGATTTCAAAAGTGTGGACATCCATTCTAACAACAGATTGGAAACCAAGCTGAAGGTCTTTATGAGTTGCCATGACCAAAAATGTTCATCACATGGTAGCCAGTCTTCTGGAAACAAGTCTCTAGAGTGGTCCTTGGATTTAGTACTTAATACTTCTCAAAATTTGTAGGTCCAGTCAAAGATTATGCTCCACTGGCATAATTTTCAAGAACCTAGGTCAGGGGTGGGGAACCTGCAGCCTCAAGGCCAGATGTGGCCCTCTAGGTCCTCAAGTGTGGCCCTTTGACTGAATCCAAACTGCCCAAAACAAATCCCTGCCTCAGGGGACCTCCACTGATCTGTCAATTCCTGTTGAATCAGTGGCCACAACATATCTTGGATCTTTCCTCTTCTTTCTCCTTCCACCCTACTTGGGACCAAGGGTCTTCACCTCCTGCCTTAACTATCTCAACACAATGTAACACAACACCACAAACTTATACTAAGTACCCACCAAACATTTACTAAGTACCCAGAACATTATGTTAAATGCTGAAGGAGATACAACGTTGACCTGAGATATGGTCTCTGCTCTTTAGTAGCTTGCCTCTAGCAAGTGGATAGTAACTATCTGCAGAAGAGGGTATATCTCAAAAATCTTAAGAGAGGGACTTTATGTGGGTGATGTAAGAGGGAGTGTATCCCAAGTATAGGAGAAGGCCAATACAAACACAGGGAGGATGAAGAGAATAATATGCAGCATTTATACAGCATTTTAGGCATATAAAACATATTACTTAGGCAATCTCCATGGATCTTCATAATACTTGTGGGAGGGAGGAACTATTGTTGTTCAGTCCTGTGTTACTCTTTATGACCCCATTTGGGGTCTTCGTGGTAAAGATACTGGAGTGGTTTGCCCTTTTCTTTTCCCATTAATCTGACAGAGGAGGAAACCTAGGCAAACAGGGTTAAATGACTTGGCCAAGGTCTTAGTCTGGATTTGAACTCAGATCTTCCTGACACCAGGCCTGGACCTCTATCCATTATACCACCTAGCTGCTCTGGTAGGGACTATTATTATCCCCATTTTACAGATGAAGAAATTAAGGTAGACAGAAAGTATAAGTGGCTTGGTGTG